AAGGGAAGGAAAAGAAAAGTAACATAAAGAAAAGTATGGGAAGTAATTCGGCCGACCGCAAGAATAAGGTAAGGAACCGAAAAAATAAGGGAAAGAAAAGTAACATAAAGAAGAAAAGTAAGGGAAGTAATTCGTTACGGGAAGGAAAAGAAAGCATCACATAAATTTAGGCTGACGACTCATTATAGGAGAAATCTTAAAATAACAAAAAAAAAAAAAAAACTTTGAAGTTTTAATTTTCATTTTTGAAGTGATTCCTTACACCTTCAAAGGGCTTTATTTTGGATAGGAAAAAGACATCTAAATTTCAAATTATTCAAATCCTTGAGAAAATTGTTCGTATCAGTGAAGAATTGAATTTCCTTTAATTCAAAAAAAAAAAAGAAAAAAAATGAGGAAATTGATGACAAAGATCTCACATGGGAGGAAAAAGAGTTAAAAGAGTGCAATATATATGGCATTTCCTCAAATATGTTCATTTTCTCTCATGTGTGCACTCCCAAACTCACTCAATTGACTTCATAATAGCCTTAACCTAAGCTACTCAACTTAAATTTGAATTGGGCTCAACTCAGCTCAAACTCGAGTTTGAGCTCAAATTTGAACTCAAAATATTGAATCAAGTCGAACATATTTTAAAAAATTATATATTACAATTTTATTTTTATTTAAATTTTAAATTAAATTTAAGTAAGTAATCAAACTTGTGAGTGGAGTTCGAATTCACAAGGCAAACTCATGAATCAAGTTTAAGTTAATTCGCAAGTTAAGTTTGATAGTTAAACTAAATAGGTATCAAAAAATGTATCAAATTGAGAATGTACTAATTATTTTCCGTTTAGCATATTTAAACTTGAAAAAAACTCCAACTCAACTCGGCTCAACTCATCTACAACCTTACTTGGCGTAGGTGAATCCATTCTATAAATATAGCTTAAATCAGAGGTCTTGCCCTCAAAAACTACAATTCATTCCTTGTTGTGGTTTGTCCGTCTGCTGCAGCTTTTAGGAAGCATGGTTCCCAATTTGGTACAGCCCGTTCCATATGTAAGTATGGCACAGTATCCACTAATTAATTTTAAGCGCATAGAATAGACATGGTTCTTTGTTAATATTTTAACTGCGGCGAACTTCATTTAACAGGACTTCTATATTGCTTGATTTTCCTTTTGTGGAAAAAATATAGTTTTATATATGGCTATGTATTTTGTACAGACTAACGCAACAGCATCTCTAAATGTGATTATACCTGAGGTTCTTAAAGAAGATAATTATAAAAGGTGGAGCATTTTAATGCGACACTATTTTGTGGCTCAAGGCCTTTGGGACGTTGTTCTATCAAGCCAAATTCCATGGAGTGAAGATCCAGGGGACTGGACTAAAAAGAATGCCTTAGCTCTGCTTGCAATTAAGATGTCATGTGGAGCAGAAACGTTTGATCAGATTGAGAAGATGGATTCGGCCAGAGATGCATGGAATGCATTAGCCGATTTGCATAAACCACCAAATGTAGACGGCCAGAGAGGAAGTGAAACTGATGCTGCAGGTTTGATTTCCAGCGCCAACAGGATTCAGCCAGGTTTATTCTTTGTTGTTTATTTTAACCGCAATGCTGTTATTATAATATTATGTTAGGTTATAAAATTACAATTTTTACGTGTTATTTAATGAGTTGATATATATATAATATTATAGATGCATCTTAAATAAAAATAATTAATTATATATTAACAAATTATAATTATGAGTTTAATGTTATGCGACACTATAATTTTATTATTTTTGTGCTTATAAAGAACAAAAAAAAAAAAACTATATCATTTTCGTTATTTTAATGCCATATAATAATCACTCTTTTAGCCTTGCAACTTCATCCATCCTCGTATATATAGTCTAAGGCCTCGTTTTGGTTGGAGTAATGACCTATGCTTTGGTTTCATCAAATTATAAAAATGAGGAAAATTTGAGAAATTCTTTAAGAAACTACAAAAAGAGACAGGTATTCCTTAACATAATTATTTTATGCTAAATTAGTGTATGATTAAGGAATATGTATTATTATTCCTCATAAGGGAAAGGAATGTGTGTTTCTTGCTTTTTCTCCTAATCTTATAATTAATGAAAATTAATAGTATCTCTATTCTTTATTTTTTTTAACAGCAATGGTATTTCTATTCTTAACTTCCAAGTTCTTCGATTTTAATTTATTTTCATAATTTGATAGAGGAATATCCGTTACTCCTGATCTAATTAAGGGTACTTTATGGGTTATGGGTGTGTGTTTTTTACCAAATTAATTCTTTTATTGTATCTTTGACAATAACAAAGTTAAGGAAACCTTGACAGGGATGTTATTGGGCAACTATCAAAGGCCTGATGAATTTGTGAGTTTACTCAAGGACATCTATGCAGGGGATTGGAATGCACTAAAATCTTTAGACAGAATAACAGAAATAATTTTTCCTAACGGTTTAACTGTTCTGCATATGGCAACTATTGCTCGTCACTTGAAGATTGTCA